CAGTAACTTGTATGTACTTTGCACATAGAGTATTCTTAAGTGTAGCAACTTACTGGTATCTCAGGTTAACTCGAATGGATAGAGCTCTGATGGAATGTCAGCCTCCAGATGCTGTAAACAAAAGAGCCTGTGCATCTCAGAGTTGACCATAGCATCCTTACATTGTTTCTTCTTCACTCCTATGTACCCAGGAAGCAACCAGCTTGGCCCCATATATGGCCACACATCAGTGATGACCGGAAGTTTGCTGGATGACCACCACTGGCACTCTGTGGTCATCGAGCGCCAGGGGCGGAGCATTAACCTCACTCTGGACAGGAGCATGCAGCACTTCCGCACCAACGGAGAGTTTGACTACTTGGACTTGGACTACGAGGTATGCATGATGACACGTAAATTGTGATAAAATGTCGAGCAACTGCGTCGCTCTCTTACTGTATTGTATTGTTAATTCTATTACTACTTATACCATTTTTATTTTCTTCTCTCAACAAAAAGAAACTGACAATTTTAAAAACCTAATACATTTGTGTCATTTTGTTTCTAAATTTACAATCGTGAGTACTCGAAATATTATAAAAATCTTAGTACCAAAGTATTCATTGGAAAAGAAGGAACATGCTGTCCAGGCCATTTGATAAACTCAGAATAAATTTAATTTGTAATCCTTTCATTAGTAGTTAATCATGTCACCAATTCTCCTTGAGAGTGTGCAGTACATTATATGCAGAGGGTTGTGTAATATTTCTAATAAAGTATTAAAAATTAAAAACCAGTATAAGAAATCCTAGTTTCTGGTTTATACTAAGTCATTCAGAAATGCATGGCTGTGTAAGGGTCTTTTGACAAGTTCTGTTTTCCCAGATGTCAGTATCACAAATGTAATAGAGTAAAATATAGAATATTTTAAAGAGATTATTCATGAACAAAAAGGCATATTTTACCTTCCCAATAATTAGAGATTAAAAATAATCAACGATCACGTTCATCCAAATAAAAAGTCTATTCTCATAGCTTGAGAATAAGTATATCGTATTTTAAAATAAATTATTTATGGAGCAATTCAACCTTAAAATATCCATTAAAACTGTTAATCATATATGTAGGTGAGCTCTTTAAGATGTTTGTCACAGTATTATACATCCTAGGAGAAGAGGGCAACACTAGACCTACAAAAGCAGCAGAACGGCAAAGTGATGCAATGCTGTTACTTAGCCAGAAGTTTCCCAACTTTCCTAGTTCATGGAGCCCTTAGTGTCTTCAAACTTTCTCTACAGCAGTCCTGGGCCATTAGGTCCAAACAACTTAAAAATTTACATCCTAAAACTTTGGTACCTGTTCAGAGAAATAAACATAAAACAAGAGTGAAAGTACGTTTTTATTTCACTCTCAAACAACAGCAATTATTACTAATGGGATGAGTGTTATTGCACTGTACGTTTGTCACAAATGGGAGTCAGATTTGCCACTGGCATCCTAATTTTCTGTTCCATGTTTACTCTACGTGATACTCTGTTTTAATCAGAGTAATGACCAAATCCCAAATTCACAAAGACAGCACATCATTCAAAGGAATGTCACATTATCTGATACAGGAACAGTAAATTACCTTAAGCTAGCGTTTCACACAGTGTCCAAATGACACTTTGAAGCCCATTGCTGTGTTTTCTTTAAAAACGTTGAACATGCTATGGCACTCCTCTTAGTTTTCTGTAGCGCCTTCATGTTCCTTGGCACCAGTGTATTCGTGTATATATGTGTGTGTTTTGTATATTTATGTATAATTACATAAGAATATGGAATATGCTCATCATAAAATGAATAGAAAAGACAGGATTTATTTTCTCTTTGTGTTTAAATAGTTTCTCTTTCTTTGCAATATGAATATACTGCATATATTCCTAAATAAAGAATTTGTAATAGAATATGCTATGTAAACACTGATGGAGACTTTATTAACGTTAAATGAATTTAAGGTTATTGGAAAATATTTTATCCTTCCCCCCAAAAATATATCTCTTAAGAGCAAACTGAATGCTAAAAGGAAATGTAGGTGAAAATCCCAGAAATTTCTATCTTCTCTAAATTAGTATGTGTCTTGGCTCATGACTATCTCCCATGTATGAGAGATCTTAAAGATGAATTATTCAGCCTTCGTTAATAAACTTTGAAGTGCCATAGAAGAGGTGAAAATTCTGGAACATTTGGAATGAGGAAATATAATTCTAATTTTCAAAGAAACAAAGATTTGGGGTCGTACACTCTGTTGAGTATGTGATGAAGTCTATGAATATATGAATATTCATGTATACACAACACTTTCTATATTGGGTCAGCAGTTTCATGGACACTTTGAAGCCCATCTATATACACTGCCATGTTTGAGAGCTGCAGGTGTAGACTAAAATACCTGGGACTTATGTATTAAAGAGAAACACTGGGAAGAAATTTAAATTAATTGACAAAGAATCAGGATAGACAACATTTCTGGCTATTGCCAGACTATTGTCCTCTTAGGGATAGCAGTTATTGGCATGAAATGTAATACAAGTGGCTATGCCTACCTTTATCTTTCTACACTTTTGTCTTAATGGAAAGGGACTGCTTTGCTTATTTATTAAAAAAAAAAAAAAACCCCAGGGACTGGGTGGAATGGCATGGTGGCTCATGCCTGTAATCCCTGTAATCCCAGCACTTTGAAAGGCTGAGGTGGGTGGATCACCTGTGGTCAGGAGTTTGAGACCACCCTGGCCAACAGGGCAAAACCCTGCCTCTGTTAAACATACAAAAATTATCTGGGTATGGTTGTGGGGCTTCTATAATCTCAGCTACTTTGGTGACTGAGGCAGGAAAATCTCTTGAACCCAGAAGCCAGAGGTTTCAGTGAGCCGAGATCACGCCATTGCACTCAAGCCTGGGCAACAAGAGCAAAACTGTGTCTCAAATAAATCAACAAATAAAGAAATATTGAAACCTCGGGAACTATATTAGAGTCAGTCTCTAGTTTTAATGTACTTAACTGCTTGATACATCCACACACTACACTCAAACCTTATAGACTGCATGAAAATTAGCTTCAAACCTAAAATAATACAAATTATATAATATTTATTACTGAACCATTTAAAGTCTTTGGCCTAAAGGAACAGAAAGTTGGTCTTGTTATCTTCACAAAACCTGAAGATGCAACGTCCTGCTTCCCCAAGGTTATACTGCCTTAGTTCTTCCATGGTACACTAAGGTCAAAGGCATTGAGGCCCCAAGAGTGGGGATATGCTGGTAAATGCTTGACAACCAGCTTTCTCCAGAAAGGAATGGTGAGAGGAATGCCCTGATATAGAGCATTTTTAAATTTTCATGGTGCGAATTTCCCACCATGGTTGATTTCATGCTACCATATATGGAACTGAGCAGGGAGTTGGGAAGAGTTGCCTAATAGCACACAATTATATGGGTATTTACATCATATAGTTGCAATCAATGTAAATGACCCCAAGAACATATTTGAAAGTAAAGTGTAGAGAAAAGTTCTGAATAGTTATTAATTTTGTGTTTCATGTGATTTATTTAATGTATTGCTTATGTAATGGGATTTTTAATCATAGCTCTGCTTAACAATCGGTTTTTGTAAGCCAGTGTGAGTGGGATTCAGCACAGTACTGCTGGCGTTATATTTACCACAATTCCTAGAGATGAACATCATGAAAGAAGTGATAGAATACAGGTTGACTTCTTTGACATAATTCTATATAGACATTTTTTGTGACCTAGTTGTAGAGTTTATCTCATCCCCTCCTCTTCTAGCTGCATACACTGCAAATTGGCCCATCGCCACCTGCAGTCAGGCTGCTAGCTACAGAGTGACTGGAGACCTGTGTGGTGATATATACAGGCGCTTCACTTCATTTTTTCTCAGCATAGCCAATAAAAACCAAAGGGCAGAGCAGCAAAATGGTGTTTGGCCTAGATTCTCTCTGTTCTTCAGAGCACACCCACTGTGGATATTATGCTGTTATCTCTTGCAATACAGCTCTGCTAGGGAAGTAAAGGAATGACTCTCTCTTGACCATTGCAGAACCACAGACTGGCGAGGAAGAAAATCAATCACAGGAGGAAAAGCCCAAGTTTGAGTCTGTTTCTGCCCTTTAATGGTTGTATGATAGTGAACAATTCATATTCCCCTTATATGAAATGAGTCTAATCACATACTTTGCGTAGGGTTATGTGAGGAGGCAACAGAAAGTAACAGAAAAAGTATATATATATATATATATATATATATATATATATACACACACACACACATATATATATAAGTTAAGATTACATAGGCTGCCTTTAATGGATGCACGTATATTCTTCTTTACATAAAAGAAGTTTGGAGGCAGGTGGCCCTAGGTTCAAATGGCTGCTCCATAATCTTCAAGATCACAGTCCTATTTAATCTTGCTTTTCCTCCATCCCTGTTGCAAATCACTCCAAGATGGCTGCTAACAATTTGCACTTCAGCTAGCAATAAGAAAGAGAGAGTAAACCAGACTGTGCCCTCCCCCTCAATGACAGTTCTTAGAATCACATACAGCCCTTCTACTTAAATGTCATGAGACCAAAACTAGCTTCAAAGAGGTTGATAAGTTATTATATTGATTGGGGAACAATGTGACCAGCTGAAAAGCATTATTTTTTCCCTAATGAGGGTAGGAAGAAAGGATACTTAGAGGAATCCAATAGTCCCTACCACACTTTGTGAACACTTGAAAGCTAACAAAATCACTAATGCAGTTATTTCTTTAGAGGCAAAGTTATTGGGTGGCAAGATCATTAATAAATGTATCATATGAGCCACAGGAATAACTGAATACTAATCTGACAACTGCAACAATATTTGTTACTATCAGCTTCATTAAAAGGTCAGAATATATGCTGTGGTCCAACCACTTCATTTTACAAATGAGGATATATAACTAGAAAGAATAAATGACAGCCTAATATCCTATCATTAGTTACCTTAGGAATTGGGTTTAGAACTCACTAAGTTGTTAGCATCTGTTAACTTGAGACTGTATTGCTTTTCCAGAGCATCTTGATGAGATAGGTCTGGTGCCTAGAGTTGCTGAAAGCAGAGAAACTATAAGGATAATTTGAATCCCCCTGCAGAAAGTGAAAAGTTCAAATTAAAGAAATATGGACACAGGAATATGTGTTTAATAATATGAAACTCAATGTTTAATAATATTAAGCATTGAAGATATTATTACGGTCAGTTGGGGAAAAATAGATCAAAGAGATTGCAGACAGGAAACGTAGTACTCCATTTCAGTATCAAAAATGATTGCCTTTGGTACCGTGTATGCTTCGGTAGTACCTAATGTGTTCATTTCAGTGCAACTCGAAAACATTTTCCCAATAATTCTACTTTAGATCACTCTATTTCTTCTTTGTAGTTTCCTAATTCTTTGGGATATATATTTTCTCAATTTTCCTTTTAACTTCTTATATATGATGTCTGTGGCCAACAATACATATTCAGCTAACCATTATTAATAATAATTAATTTTATTTTAAATGAGGTCTTTTTTTGTTACCATCACCTCATAAATCATAATTTGTGTTTTTTCCCTAAAACTAATTAAGCATTTACGATGCCATAACACTAAATAATAGAACATAATTTGTTCATGGACCTTTCAGAACACAAAATCTTTGACTCATGTTTCAAATATGAAGTCTTGACTTTTAAAAATATCTTCACCATTGCTTTCATTTCACCTCATTAAACATGTCCTCGAAAAGTATCCTAGGCTCAAGTTAACAGATCCTAACAATTTAGTGAGTTCTACCCCCAATCCCTAATTTCACTAATAATTGGATATTACACTGTCATTGATTCTTTATAGTTATATATTGTCACTGAAAATCAAGTGGTTAGACCACAGAATATTTTTCGACATTTCAATGAAGCTAATAGTAAAAAAAAGTTAATGGTATTATTGTATGATACTTTTAAAGATATATATTACAAGTATTATATATCTTGATATTATAATTATAATTAGCAGTTGGCTTCACTTACTAATTTACTATTCATAGTAAATATCCTTGACCAAGCAAATACTAAATGCAATTTTGTATTATATAGATTTAGTGCTATAGTATATATTGACCAAAAATATAAAATACATAGATATTTTATTTCAATAGGCACAAGCAGCCAGAGGAACACAGTAAGTAGTGTTGTCTTGTTTCTTAGGATTTGAAAGATCTGAAATATCTTTAAGTCTACATTGCTCAACTTAGAGCTCCCAAATCCTAAGTGATCCCTAATCAATATTGTAATAATATATTTTGAACTATTTTCTACATCCAAAATAAATCTAATGAATTTTTGACAATAATCATCATTCGACTACAAGTCTGCATAGAGTAAATACGGTATCCCTCGCTTTGGGCTGTAGTTTTATCAACTTATTAAATTAGTACTGATTATCTTATGCTTACCGGAGGCATTTATTGATAGTATGTCTTTGAATGATAAGTGTAAAAATATATTTCAAATATTATTTGATAAAAGAAGTTTCTGAATAAAAATCTTTTAAAATATTCTCAAGAAAATTTATAAAATGCCTTTGGGGTAGTAAAATTGCAAAGGATCATTGCTTTTTTTTGTTGGTCAAGTTATAATCTAATTATCAGAATAAATTACTCCATTAGGGACTTCAGCAACAACATAATTTAATATGCCATAAGTTTCGGAGGCAGAATACTATAATATTTGTATATTTTGATTGCAGTAAAGGTACTTGGCCTTGGCTATAGTCATGGTTTTGTCTAGTTTATTACAATACAATGTGAATGTTTACATTTAATTTCTTTTCCTCAAAGATAACCTTTGGAGGCATCCCTTTCTCTGGCAAGCCCAGTTCCAGCAGTAGAAAGAATTTCAAAGGCTGCATGGAAAGCATCAACTACAATGGCATCAACATTACTGATCTTGCCAGAAGGAAGAAATTAGAGCCCTCAAATGTGGTAAGAATTTTCACCCTCAAAAGATTGGTCTGTAAAAAATTAAGTAACGTTTTTGTTTTTTGGAGTATTGAACAACAATAAAATCATGACGTTTTTCATCTTACTTGCATTTAGGCACAATGATGTAAAACAAACTTCAGAGTTATCAGAAATACTGTAGGTAATTAGTATTCTTTGAGAATAGATAATGGGAATAGTCTTAGATAGGTGATAGGTTTCATATCCATGGAGCACAGAATGTTAGACTCAGTATTTCTGGATTACTCATGGCTGGGGAATGAATACACCTCAGCACATGCTTCACCCCAGCAGTTCTGCACCCCTTGAACTGGCTGCATCATGTTTTCAAATATCTCATCGTATATGCGCTAAGTTTCTTGTTTATGGTTTAATTTAATATTTTTAAAGTTTTTAAATCAGGGACTTTATTTTATTTACTCCTGCGCTTCCAAAGATGATTTTTTTGAATATGTAAATAAATACCCTTTTAACAAATCTCTAACCAACTAAATATTATACAATTAAATACAGCTTGATTTCCACTGCATAGCAGAAGCTGTGCTGCAGAGGTTCACAGTGATTCTCTTCTGCCTCTATGTGACTTGGTGCCAGGTTTCATTAGATTTTGGGAGGAGAGCAAAAATCAAAGAAAACTGCAGCATACCTGCCTTCTCACGACACTACTCAACATCCCTAAAAAATATTTTGTTTAAAATCTTGGTCTGAGGGCTCCCTAGGGCTCTGCAAGACCAGGAGCTACTTTAGCCCAGAGATGTTATTTGAGAGAGCCTAGAATTCCAGAGACCCATACAATAAGAAGATATGCACTAGAAGTAGAATAATGTCAGGAGCGTTTGCACTGTGCTCTAAAAATGCTCTTATGGTCTCATTGCCTCAGTTTTGAGTGTAGGGTTTCATAAAATGACTCGACAAGTGGATATCCCTGAATGAATAAAGAACTCAGGTTGGATATGAAAAACTTTAAAATAATAACTCAATGCAAATGATTAATAAATATTTTTCTTAAAGTAATCATAACTTTACACTAATAAGCAAAACTTGAACTTTGAATAAATTTTCTCATGAAGTATATTGACTATATGGATATATAATAGCTCCATTTATAGGCAACATGTCCTGTGCTAGGCATGTTATATTTTACATGTATGATACTCTAAGAACAATACTGCAAGAAAGATGAAAACATTTTGTAGGTGAAAACATTGAGATTTAACATGAAAAAAATAATTTATAAGAAAAACAGCTTTTAAGAAAAAAATTATTTTATTTTACTTTATTTTATAAGAGATGTAAATTATAGATTTACAGCTGGGCATGGTGGCCTGCTTCTGTTTTCCCAACACTTTGGGAGGCCAAAGCAGGAGGATCACTTGAGTCCAGGAATTTGAGACCAGCCTGGCAACATAGTGAGACCCCGTCTCTACAAAAAGTTAAGAAAATTAAAATTAAAAAAATAAATTAAACTGAATTAAAAAATTAGCTGTGTGTGATAGTGCATACATGTAGTCCCAGCTACTCAAGAGGCTGAGGTAGGAGGGTTATTTCAGCCCAAAATTTGAGGCTACAGTGAACTGTGATTGAACCACTGTACTTCAGCCTGGGCAACAGACTGAGACTCTGTCCCTACAAAAACTAAAAAAATGAAAAAGATTATGAATTCACAATATGTGAGTTTGGTTATAATCTATAATTATATTTTATTTTAACAAGTAATTGCAATGAGAAAACAGTATAAACTTTTGAAACAAAATGTACATACAAATGGAAAATCTTTGGTGGGATAGAGACAAAAGGACATTTTGCAAGCAGCCATACAAAGACAAGTGTTTATATAAGAAATTTACTTTCAAACATATTGGGTACTGATATTTCAGTGAAATTGACTCAGCACTCATTCTACCTCCTCTTCCCCCACGCACTCATTCCCTCATTATGTGCTGACTCCAGAGTCAGCACCATTACTCTGGAAGGATCTTTAATTTTGTTAGGGAGACAATCCCCTCAACAATGGTATGTGGTCAGTTATAAAATCTCAGTTATTATGCATAGGCAGTTCTTTTCATCAGTTTTAAAATAATCATCTGTGATGGTACAGAGCAAATTTAATTTGAATATTAATTCAGGGAGACAGCCTGCCTTAGATTTATTGGTTAATGTGCTTAAATGGAAGAAATCAGTATCTGGTATATATATATGTGGTGGTGTAAAAAATATAGAGAGAAAAAGAAAAAGATAGAGAGATAGACCCAATGAAATATTATCCAATTACATTCCTTAAAATATTATTATAGGATAAAAGAAATTAGAAGCAAATACAGATTTTTAGATCTGTAAAGAGATGTTAGGCACTAAAATATAAAATTTAGTGTATCTGAATGCTAAATCAATGTGAATTGTTCTTGCTTATATCAAGAAGGAGGAGTATGGATAGGGAAGGACAAGCCTGAATTATTAGAAGTTTTGTTTCCATTTTGCCCATTTATACTGCTAGTTCCACAGGAATGAATGCCTTGTGATACAAGCACATTTCATGGGAATTTAAATGGGATTTTGAGTTGGTAATAGAATAATCTGCAATAACCACAATTACATTAACACTAAAAACAATATTTATCTATCTATGCATATATAAGGTATATAAATAAAAATACATAAGGTGTATAGATAAAAATCCAAGAATATTTTTTCTAAAATACCGGTTTCACAAATAGCAAACATATGATCATAGTCCGTACTGAGACCAGAGTAATATGTTAATTAATGTTAGCATTGACTACTCAGAATAGGGCAGAGCATCTCTCTCCCTGACTTGTGTTCGGCCAGCAGCAACTTTGTTGTCTTCAGAAAGTCTAGTGATCCACACTGATGCCCACAACACACATACACACTTTACAACTCGTGGTCAGCTTATCTCAACAGGCTGTCAGGCTGTCAGTCCCGGGGTGGAAGCTGCTTGTTATAGTTAGACAGCCACTGCTGTTCAATGTTAGGCCTCACACTCCAAGTAGATTCATGTTGGTGCTTCCAGTCACTGAATCCATGCCCTGCAGCTGGGTGTGAGTTTAGCTCAGGCTCAGGCTCTGCTTCAAAACTTACAGAACTCTACCTTCATCAGTGGTCTTACGTGGACATTTATTTTATTCTGTGTCTTCCTGAGAGCATGCCTTTCTATTTTATAGGGAAATTTGAGCTTCTCTTGTGTGGAACCCTATACGGTGCCTGTCTTTTTCAATGCTACAAGTTATCTGGAGGTGCCCGGACGGCTTAACCAGGACCTGTTCTCAGTCAGTTTCCAGTTTAGGACGTGGAACCCCAATGGTCTCCTGGTCTTCAGTCACTTTGCAGATAATCTGGGCAATGTGGAGATTGACCTCACTGAAAGCAAAGTGGGTGTTCACATCAACATCACACAGACCAAGATGAGCCAAATAGACATTTCCTCAGGTCAGTGAAACCTATTTGACATTTGTTCCTGAAACTGCTATTGCAATTTCCAAAGCTAATGTTTTGTTTTGTTTTGCTGGTGTTACGTGCTGAGGATTAGGTTGTAATTCAGATCTTCAAGACACGTAGTTGTACTATGTGCTAACTGAGTAAGGAAAACTTGGAAGTTGCTGAGAGGGCAAGGCAAGAGTGAGGGAGAAAGCTGGTTGAGATTGGAAAAGCAAAATACATTCCTTACCAATGCTAGCTTATATTTAATAGAAAAATTGCTGTTCTTTTAAGAGATTAATTTATATTTAAACACAAAGAATTTTTGTTAAAAAAATACACAGTTGTATCTGGTATCTTTTGACTTTATGAACATTCAAGTACTTTTTACTTATAGTAACAAGATTATACTAATTACAACTTTAAGGAATATTCCACTGCTGGAATCAACTTCAGAATGATCTTGCTAAAATTATGCTTATGTTTGGAAAGAAAACAAAAGTGAATACAAAGCAGAATGACAAGATTTGTATACGAACTGAAGGAAGACTGGCTTACCAAAAATAGGATAATTTAAAATTTGGCTTTGTAGTGACATGACAAGTGGAAGCTTAGGTGGTATTCTTTCTATTTGAATAGACTTAGCAACCTTGGAATGTTCTTTGATAAATATGGTCCAAAGAAAGGTGATATTTTAAATCGAGATGTTACAAGCAAAGAAAAAATAGTCACAATATTGGAATGATAGATAGTAACTGTTTTCATCTATTTTTCTTGAGATATTCTTTGTAATAGTCGTGTGTGTGTGTGTCTGTGTGTGTGTGTGTGTGAAGAACTACTTACAAATGGGAGATGCAAAGAAAACTAACATTTACTGAACACTTAGTACAGAAGTAGCAAATACTGAAAGAGGTCATGACGGAGAGCTCAATTGGATGACGATGGACTCTGTTTTCTGAATATGCCAGAAACACTCATGACACCCTACGCATACACCGGACATGTTTTCAGTCACACCGTGATTTGTGTTCCACTCATTTCCTCTCTAGGCTGCATGCTCCTTGAGAGCAGGGGCCATGCTCCTTCTTCTTCTGTCTTTAGCATATAGAATAGTACGTATAAGAGGTACTCTAGAATATTTGTTGAGTTCAATACTCTGACCCTTTAAACTAACAGAATACCCCTTGCTATAGAGCATACATTTTCTTGTAAAATAGGCTTTATGTTTGTGTATGGCCTGAATGTATGGTCTATTGCTGAAAAGGATGCAAGGAAGACATAAGAACTGTTATGTCACAGATGTGCCGAAATTATTAAAATCTAAAGCTATCGGGAAATACCTAGATATTCACTTTCTCCATTTCTCTTTATTAGTTCTGCTTTTTCCTTGAATGTCCATGGTTGATAAAATCAACCATATTTTCTCACTATAGTATTTTATAAATATACCTAGGGAGATTTGCAGCAAATAGAAAATATCTGGACAGACCAGAAAAACAGATAAAACTAAAACAAAACAAATGTTTACCACAGTTGAAAAACTCCCACATTACATTCCGTTATGATTAATGATTATTTTCTAATGACTAAACATATAAAAATATTAGTATGGAGGCCTCTCTCCTTGCATTCTCTGAGCAAATGCAATTTGTCTTTAGGTTTCTGTGTAACAGGAGCCAATATATTTAAAACAATAAGATCTGAAACCTAGTGGTCAATAAACATGTATTAGTTTGATTTTGCTAAATTTTAGTACTCCAAGATACTCTCATCTAATTTAAGCTGTTTTTATTTTGAAAATTAAAGATAGAATGAACAAAGGAAACCAATATGTGACAATTAATTCACCTTAATATAGTTGCTTAAATATAATAAAAGTGAACTGAAGCATTTTTTATCAATTTACCCAAGAATCTGTGCAAATTAATTGAAAATGATATGAAATCCAAAATCTTCATAGTATTACCCTCATATAATCCAGTGAAAACACCTTAATGCTTCAAGCATTTTCTTCTATATACCTTGTGGAAACTAACTGATCATATTTGAGAAAGATTAGTTGGAAGAAAAAAAGAAAATCCAACCATTTTTTAAAATTCTATTTTATACTCATTTATTTAATCCAAAAGTACATATGGAAACCATAGAAGATAATTTCCTCTGTCTTTTAATGTATTTTATCTAATTCAATTAAATTATAAATAATTTAGTTAAGCATCAACACTGCGAAAATAGTTAGCTCAAGATCCTAAAGTTTGCCTTAACAGAGGGAAATGTATCTATGTCATAGATATTCTACTCTTACCAGCATAAGCATTGAAGAATGTCAGTCCATTTCTCATTTTGTTTAATATTTTGATTGAAATAATTTAGAAAAAGCAGAAAATCTAGAAAAGAAATATAATGACTGATAACATGCTTTCGTACACACACAAAGTAGTGCATTGAGAAGGTAATATAGAGACTCTCAGATACTGTCAATATATACTGGTAACTTAGTTTTTATTTTATAAGTTCCATGGTCCAGAATGAAGGTTACTCAGTTATATCAAAAACATTTTTTTTCATCTTGGTCAACATTGTTCTTTGAGAATTAATTCAAAATATTAAATACATCTTACAAGTAAAAGAATGTTTAATATATTGCTCACCCTCTCTGTGTATCATTCTTTCCAAGTTGTGATTATTGTTTTAAAGAGTCTCATTAGTAACTGACAGTAGACTTGACTTACAAAATTCCGTCAAACTCAGTAGGCTTGAATTTGTAGAATGGGTCATCATTCCATGAAAGTATTTTTCAAGTTGCGACATCAACTCTTTCTGACGGATAGCCAAACAAACAACAACAAAAGCCTACATACCTTAATTCAAAATGTTTCACTTTTACCCCACTATATCACTTTCTTTAGGGCAGCAGTTACTGATTTATGAATAGATATTTATACAGTACTTTTAACTAGGTATAAATGGTAAAAGAAAACAAATCAGGTGCTGAAAAGGCTCTAATGAATAATAGCTGTTCATTCTGGGCATAATTTTGTTTTGTTTTTTGTTGTTGTTGTTTTCTATAGTTTGAATTGGAGTCTTATTCTATTGCCCAGGCTGGAGTGCAATGGTGCAATCTCAGCTCACTGCAACCTCCGTCTTCCAGGTTCAAGTGATTCTCCTCCCTCAGCCTCTGAAATAGCTGCGATTACAGGCACCCACCACCACACTCAGATAATTTTTGTATTTTTAGTAGAGATCAGGTTTCACCAGACTGGCCAGGCTGGTCTCGAACTCCTGGCCTCAGGCAATCCGCCCACCTTGGCCTCCCAAAATGCTAGGATTACAGGTGTGAGCCACTGCACCCAGCCCATTCTGGGCATAATTTTCATTTTAACTTTACAATTCAAAACCCTAGGGAAGGTGTAACTAGAACTATGTTTTCAAATAATTTTGATCAAAGCATAGTAAGAAAATATTTTATGCCATGCCCAAAATCTACTGACACAAAATTTAATGAAATAAAACTTTTCTATTTTAGATGCACTATGATAATTGTGGTATTTTCTCTTCTTTTACTTTTATCTTTTAAAAAAAATGCCATGACACACTATAATGATTTTATGTCCTAAATACAGTTTGGAAAAACTGACCTGCATTGTTTTTCATATTTAAAGTTTTGAGATTTTAAAAAGTTTTAGTTGCCTGGAACTCCATCACTCTATGTTGGAAAACTAAGTTTATCTTATAGGACCAATATTATACTAGTATGATGGTGGTAAAAAGAAGCATTAATATGCATTACTATTTGATGGGAAACAAAACTACCTACTTTTCGAAGTAAGATTTTATTTCAAAATGCCTCAATTTTATGTCACTAAAATATAAATATTTAGGACAATACTCAGTTGTGGCCTGCCAATATTAATTAGGTAATACGATGCGATTCAACATTTATTATAGTGGGGAGAAAGTGATTTATCTTAACAGTCTCTCACTTATTGGAAAATAATTAACTTCTATCCTTATACAAACAAAGCCTTTCCAGAAAGCTATTCAGAGTATGTCTTGTCCTAAATCCGCTATTTTCTTATACCCAAGTATTGGAACTTTCTTGTTTTATTAATGTAGGTTTTGCTTCAATTTTAGAATGGCTGTTCAGTGTCCATACTGTTTCAAAAACATGTACTCAGCAAAGATTATCTCTGTATGTATTTTCATCTCCAAAGGAAATATTTTGTGGCCTTGTTTTATTTACTTTGCTTCTTAGTAAAATGTTCTTTGTAAATCATTATGTTCCATTGGGTGTCCTGGCACTGTCTATCCTAAGCAATTAAAATATCTCTGTTCTTAATTTTGTGAGCATAAGAAAATGTAGCCAGTATATTAATATTTCTTAACAAGTTTATGCCATTTTCCAACATTCAGTGATAATTTGCACCACAAGACATCCTTTTCATCATGGAAGAAAAAAGGTCTCATTTGAAATACAATTTTTGATGTTTCAGTTGTTTACTGGAAAATTATTATCAGTTCTATGCTAATATTTCAAGATGTCTTAAAATAAATTCTTATAACTCAAAAACTAAATGCTTAGACATTACTACAAACACTTTAAGGGATTTATTTTATTATATTTTACAGCATAATACTTGGAGACTTATTTACCAAGGTATATTCTTTGATTCAACTTTAAACCATAATTATTAGAAGCCTTAAAAGATGTCACTTCCCTTTGGTCCATTAAATTTAAGTTATTCTGATTTTAAGAAAATAAAGAAGCACCCAGAGATATTTATCACACCATATGTACAATAACAAAAGTACCTGATAACAGACTACTGAAAATGGACAGGTGATTTTAAAGAAGATATTTTTGTGTGGAATACTATTATGTCACTATAAATCATGTTTCTTAAATAAAATTTAAAAACATGATAAAATATAATGCTATCAATAAAATTTTTAACAAAAGCTTAAGTAGACTATGACCCTAATATTATTATAAATATAAAAATTTTATTTCA